TGTCTTTCTGTTTTACACAGTTTACTTTATTCATTGTTACATCCCTCAACCCCTGGACTCCTTCAGTCTTAGTAACAGTCATAGTATAGTAAGGCATAAAATGTAATATTACAGGAAGGCATAAAAATGTCATATAATAGTATATATATAGTGATATCAATATTATAGTAAGGTATAAAAAAAACATCATAGTATTTATGGTGACATTTTCATGTGTCTGTCTTTTCTGTGCAGCACAATAAATTAGAATCTTTTGAATTCTATTTTGAATCGATTAAGATGCTCAACAAAAGGCCAAGATACTTACTTGGTTGATAGAAAATCATTTGATCACATATGGATTCGAAATATCTACCATAACAATACAATAAAATAAAAGACATAATAAGAGATCAACATTTGCATGTATAAAATTTTAAATTAAATCATCATTTGTGTGCATTTTTGTTGGTTTTTGCCACAGACTGTATTTCAAGTCTCTATGGTTTTGGCAGGGAAGGCAGCTATATGCAAAATAATGCAGTTCACACTATGGCCACGGTGAGGCAGTGTGCCTAAATCACTCGAGTAAAGTGAACTCAAGGTATCAGTTCTCATTTTAGGAACCTATGTAAATATCATAAATGTGGGAAAACAGGTGTCACAATTCAGGCCGATCTTGAAGCTCTGAATGTAATATTGCTAAACACCAGTGTCTGTTAGTTGTGTTACTCAGCTGCTGAGATCCAACTCTTGATGACTAAGGCTCCAGCCCTGACAGGGCAGCTGTAGATTTCATGAACCAATGTTTTTCACCTTATTTTGACCGACAATTGTTCATTTCTAGATTTTTAAGAATGTGACATCTTTGATGTTGTCCTCCTTTCTTGCAGACAGCAGACTTGCAAAGTCGTGGTCAACACATGAACAAGTTCTGCAAAACCTAACAAAGACGAAAACATCCTTCATAATATGTGTTTGGAAGAAAAAAAATCACATTAAAACATTAAAGTGAAGCAAAAGAAATGTGCTTTCCCACTGTTGCAGGAGATCATAGACAAACCACAGAGGTCACAGATAAATTCAAGCTGTAAGGCTAGGAAATGTGCATTTAACAGTGTTAATGGTTTACCTTTGCACCTGTAAAACCAAAGCAACCAAATGGAAAAAACTAAAATATTGTATATTCCTCTGGAGAGACAATCAGATGACACTGTACAGTTGTTCTGAGACACGGAATTCAAACTCTTTTTATGTTCCTTATAATGTGCACAATGAACATTAACATCAACTCTTGCTGAGCAATGCAGCCTGGAAGGAAACCTGACACCTTTGAGACACAAGGTTAGCAAAGGCTACCGAGAGATATTTATGGCTTTTGGTATGACTCATCTTTTTCTCCTAAACCACCATTTTTTTCTGCAGAAGAGAATAGACAGCTAGAGAGCCTAATAAAAAAGTGATGAACAAAAGAGGAGGTGCACAGTTTAATACCCATGCCTCATCTCTGTAAATCAGAAAGCCTTAAGTGCTGCCATGAACAAAAACTGTTGTGTCAGTACTCGCCAGCTATTTGTTTTTATTATATTATTTATTAAATGTATATTTGGTTGGTTCATCATTTGCCTGCACCACAGCTTGCACTAAATAAAGCTTGCAATTTTACACCGTGGTTAAGATTACCTCTAGTTGGTTTTCCCCTACTCTTGTATTCCTGTCTGCTTACATTTAGAAGTTCAGCAATAAAATACAAACTTTTGCTTGTTTGTGAATGAGGTTTTTTTTTCATTAATGAAAATTTGATATAACGTTTACTTAGAAAATGCATCCTTTCTTCAGGAGTGTCTGACATGCTACTTAGTTACTGTTGTGACACTGTGTCTAACCATGTAGCTATGCTTAGACTAGTGTTGAAGCTGATTAATGACTCTTTACCACAACTAACTGCAAGGAAGAACAAAACTAAGAAGAAAAACTGGGTTGTTAACAAGAAGGTCGGTGACTTTGCAAACTCTGTGCAAGATGCCGTTGAGCTTGTGGAATTTAAACAACTTCAGCAAAAATGCTAACTGTCAGTTGCTTAAATCTCGATTGGTGCACAGGTGTATGTGACATCACCTTTTTCCACAGAGATAAAAAGAAATATGGAAATCTCTCGCATGAAACAACCAAAACGGTTCTGACTTTGGCAGAAATTGTATGTTTATTTAGGTTCCCATTACTTATACTTAAAAGCTGAGAGAGAGAGAGAGAGAGAGAGAGAGAAAGAAAGAAAGCCAACACCATAACGCCCTCCCAGGTCATTGTTCTCTTATTGGCAGTGTGCCTTGGCATTATATCTATTCCTATTTACCTAATCTCTTATTACCAGATGTTTCGCACCAATCCTAAGTATGTTAGCCTGCTCGGTTGACTTCTTGACCATTTCTTTTGTTATTGTTCCCACACTGTCTCTTAAACTCCTATTGGCGTCCAACCGGTTGATATCAGATCATACGTCTCTAGCCTTATAATTCTCCTACAAATACATTTAAAGGCCTTTAAAGCCCCTAGTTTTGTGATTATAGCATCTTACAAAGCACTGATGAGTTTTTGTTTATAGAAAAAACAAGATAATCGTGGTGCAATTGTGGTATCTTGGCTGAGATATGAGTACAGGACGGAAATGCTATGGAGGATGCTCTAGGAGTGAAGGCCAGGTGCAAGAAGAGGGGGAGTACCTCTTCTGTTCCTCTCTCCCCTACATTGTTCAATGTTGACATTTGTATAACTTGACAAGTTTTATGTTATCCTCTAACTGTACTCAGAGAATGACCATGTATGGACATAAATGTTGGTTCTGCTCTTCTATAGGCTATTAGGATTTAGCTATGATGTATTAAGAGAATATTCAGCCTATAAATTGTATGGGTTTGGGACAAACGGGAGAAGATCCTTTTTGGCTTTGGGTCCTCTCACAGGCTGTTTTTGATGCTCGTTCAACGATGCTGTGCCTTTTTGTAATAAACCTTTTTATATACAACTGAGCCGGTGTCAGCAGAGATTCCTTCATCATCATCACATCATTGCAAGAGAAGAAACAACACAATTTTCACACCTTTACTCTCAAAGTTAAATCCAATTACGTGACTGTTGGATTTTCAGTTCTCATAGCGGCTGTAAGTATCAGATTAAATGATAAATGAGGGATTGCCATACAATGTCAATTCACTGACCTTTGCCCTCCAACTCGAACACACCTCGAACACCTGAACACCTGACACTCCTACAGGTGTAGCGTTCGCACGCCAGGTCATCTGGCTCACTCGCACACACATGCACAAACCTGAACGTCCACTAAAATCAATCATTTACTGGAAACGAATAAACCCTCTCGACTCCACACCCCACCCCCCGCGTTCTGTAACTACACAGCTCATAGCAGGAGGAAAGATGCAGATCTGAAGTTAGTGACACTCTGACTGTGATACAGAGGTGTTAACAGACAAACCCATGTGTGTGAGCTAATACTTACAGCTTGTATAGATTTCCTCATGATTTATAGTAATCAGGGGACAAGTATATCTAACAGTTTGATGTCTGTATGCTGCGCTTGAACACAGCGGAGATATTCAGTCCGTCCTCAGTTTTTCTTCCTTGCTCTGCTTTTCAATGACTAAAATACTTTGTGATCCACTTACTTGTTTTCTAACCAACAGTGTTGACTATACCTCTGTGATAACACATGTACAATTCTTCCTGTTCTAGCGTTACTGGAAGTGAGGCTTCAAAGATCCTTATCTTGTGCCACACCTTCATTCACTAGCAAAATGTTGTTCATGGTCGCAATTTCACAATACAGAGGAGGAAGTTGAACTGTACAGCTGAACGGGGGAAAAGCACTTGCTCCACTCTCCCTCAGCTTTTGGTGAATATTTTCAGAGCACTTCCTGTTTTCCTGCTTATGTGTAATGCCAAATAACCACTAATGACACATCTTCTTTTTTTCTTCCAAGGATTCCCATTCAGTGTTGTAATAACTGTGTAATTCAATATGTCACTTCATTGTTGACCTCAGCAAATAAGTTCACACAGTGTTCATATTATCACAATGATCCAAGTTTTTTTAAACATAGGCTTCACCGATCAGCCACAACATTAAAACCAGTTACCAGTGTTAATGTTGTTGCTGATTATGTAGTAAAACAACAAATAGAGGTGAGTCACTTTACTTCCTCCCATGTGCATCACATGCACCGACCACAGACAGACACATCCAAATGCAGCCATGTAGAAAATGTATGCTGCACACCGCTAATAGACAGAAGAGATAGAAGCTCAGCTGGGGGCAGTGACTCTATTGTTTCCCTGCTGCTGTTATTAGTGAAAACAAGAAGGATTAGTTAGTGTACAGCATAAACTGCAGATCAGCATGTCTCCCATCCCAAACCACATGAATACACAAACCATCTATCAGAGAGAAAATACTCTCACAAGACACTGTTTTCTACAGTATATAATCTGTATGTGCTCAGCAGATGTTCACCGGCCGGGATTTTTCATTGAGGGAAAATAAAGACTGTAGGTATCATTTAATCATTTTAAACTAGGTAATAAGTCTTACAACATGTCTGGATTTGTAAGCTGCACAATGCAGATATTTTACAGGAAATATTTCAATGGGTGACTTTTAAACACTTCCTCTAAAATATATTTTCCTGTCTTTGTGGCCAAGACCTTTTTGTTACCTTTTTCTTTGGCATTTCTGTTTTATGATGTTTTTTTTAATATGGTGGCATATACATAAAAGATATACATGCATAGATGGTAGGTTGGTTGTGTGGTGAGCTGACATACTTCTCTGGCAGAAAGAATGCAGTTTGAACTTACAGCACAGAGCTGTGTAATATTACGCTTCACTTTTCTTCCATTTCCTTAAGTGGGAAGAACAAAAAGAAAAAAGAAAAAAGAAAAACCAGTGCAAACCACCAGTTTTATTTAAAGTCACATTTAATCATTTGTTCAGAAGGTTGTGTATTTTGAAGCCACCTCTAAACGACATTGACATGCTGTGAAACTCTTATGATTAAAATCTTACCACATACACCGGAGGGAGTTATGTCTCAAACATAACCACTGATTACAATCTTAATACCCATCATTTAATTCATTCACTCTAATTACAAAAAAACATATTTGTAATTTGCTGTGACCACTAACATTTCCTTTCACTTTCATTGACTTGCTGGTGGAAGTAATCTAAGAGGCAAATATCTCAAAGCCCGGACCATATAAAAGCAAAACTACCTGCGTGGACACACACACCACGAGAGTGAAAAAGTGTCTTTTAGTAATTTGGCTGAACTGGTCCTTTAATGCTGTCAGGTGTTTGTGTGTTTGAAACTGGCTGAAGTGAAGCTGAACGTCTGTGAGAAAGAATCTCTCTCTAATAAACACAGCACTGCTACCAAATGTCACTGTGGTAGAGCTGAAACTGGTGATTATTTTCATTATAAATTAATTATTTGGTTATAAAGCACCAAAAAACTCTGAACACTTCCCTTAGAGCCCAAGATAACATCATCAGATATCTTAGTTTTGCTCGACCAGCAGTACAAACTTCATAGAGAATCAATTTCCCAGAATGTAAGACAAGAAAAAAGCAAGTTTTCGCATTGAAGATGTTTTTTCCTGGAAAAATAACTTAAATGATTAATTGACTATCAACATCGTCTCTACGTTGGTTTACCCTTACGACAGGCTGCTGATTGGAATGACTTTTGATTCTCCTCCAGCTTCTCCTCCAGGCACTGAATGATGATGGGGTCCACTTTGGGGTCGAACTTATTGGCGAACCAGTGACCGTAGTTGAGTAACCAACGCATTTCTGCGGCGCCATAAATACAAACGCTGCGAACGTGTTGCCCTGAGCAGGGCGGGTACAGGCTCTCCTCCAGGTAATGCCACTTCACCAGCCTGGTCTTACTCTTCAGGTCAGTGACATCGGGCTGGGATCTGGGCACCTCCCCGGGTACACCTGGCAGCCGCACGAGCGTGGCCCAGAAGTGCTCATCGGGAGAGTAGGTGTCCTCTGACCACGCTAGAAAATCCTTCACCACGGCTGACGAGTCCATGTGCACAACAAAGTCCCGTGACAAGACAAAATAGGCATTGCCAGAGAATATCTCGATACCATGAGGCGGCGGCGTTTTCATCTGCTCTGTTTTCACTGGCAGTTTTTTATATTCAAAGCTGGCGTCTCTCAGCTCGTGGCGGAAGGTGAACCTCTTCTTCTTCTGCTCGCTGGGTCGGCTTGTCTCCAGCATGTTTGCACCATTTAACTTCTTTAGCTCTGACACCAGCTCCTTATTGGACCTGAGGGGGAAATCTTGGCCGCAGAGGTTGATGACATACTTCCACTTGACCTGTGACCCCAAAAGGTCGGACAGACAGTTGAGGTCAGCCTTCAGTCGACTGATGCTTGCATAGTAGACGGACTCTCGCTTGGAGGCGATGAAGACATTGGGCAAACAGCGGGCCAAACCCTCAATGGCTGCAATGAACTGAGCGGAGGACTTCTGATCGTAGTGAATACAGTAGATGTTGCCCGGTGAGTACAGCACTTTGAGGAGTCTCTCCACCATCCATGCAGATTTATGCACAACCATAGAGTAAGCAAGAGGGAAGTCTCTCTCCTCCTCTGAGACGCACACGTCATCATAACCCCTGGACTTGATGAATAAAGGGCAGTTCGAGGTGAGGTTAACGAGACTTTCATCCGCATCCTCCACAACTTGTTTCCTGCGGATGATCAGAGATTTACCCACCTCCACCGGGTCCATGTCATATATGTCTGAGCAGCTGATGTTGTACTTCTGAAACATCTGGATGTCATATAAAGCTGCCAGGGGAGGTAGAGATTCGATGATGTAGCTGTACTTCAAGAAGAGCACGAAGCACAGAGTCAGCAGTACCAGGCATGACAGGCATGACAGGCGTGGCAGTAACTGCCCTCTTCTTAGCCTCACACATGAACATGTTGTATTCATTCTGTGGTGAAGGAGAAACGTGATGTGAGGGAACAGAAACCAAAACTGACTGCAACGTTTTTATAGAAGTCAAACCTATAGAACATGAGAAACTGACGCGCTCAGAAGTTTTGACTCTTACACTCTCACCTTGGTCCACGCGTTGCAACCCGGTTCACCAAGAACCTGAAAGTTGTAAGAAGGAGGACACATTCAGATTTCCATCAGCTGTTTGTCCCAGCTCACATCAATAAAGCGATTTGATAATGACCAACTTACCGATGTCAGAAGAAACAACAAGAGTGGACATTTGTCTTCCGTGCCGCTCCACTTTTACGCATGACCGCTCCGACATCTGTGGACACTTTCAGCTTGAAAACATCTCTCCACTCAGAGTTACTTCGCCACATGGTTAACCGGAGCGTATGAAGAGGTCAAGAACACGCTCTGAGTCTCCGTGGCTTGTTGAGGGGGAGAGGGAAAAAATAACCCGGAAAGAGGGAGGGGCTCAGGGACGCTAATAAATGCACCAATAAGAAATATGACAGATAAAAGCTGCAAGAAAGGTTGTCTGCGTGTCATATGTCACCACCGCGTTGATCAGATGTGGATATTACATGAAGCATAATGTAAAAGTGAATAAAGAGTGCGAGTAAAGAAGCAGAGCTGCGCGTAAATTTCAGACAATCCCGAGCAAATGATAGTGGAGCTGCAGCTGATTAAAGACGATAAATGAAAACCTCGTGGCTTGAGTCATCTGAACTCTGCGAGAGAAAAAACAGAGAAGATCAAGGAAACTGTGTCTGGAAGCAACATACTTGTTTTGTTTTGTTTTTTTGAGAATGTTTAACGGTGAACAACGTCTGTTTAAACCAGATCTACTTGTTTCAGGAATGAAGAGAATACGTCCCCACCCACGAAGTTATTTGTGATTATAATAACCCAAATCTGATGCTTCAAAAAAGAAAACTATTTTATAACTGAGCTGTTGGCTTAAACTTTTCTTTCAGAATCAGTTGCACAATCTTTTTTTTTTTTTTAACAAACTAATTAAATGTGAAAGATAAATACCAACTGAAGAGTTCTTCTCAACGACTTCAAACAAGCTCTGCTGGCTCAACTCAAAATGATGCAGAGCTTACAGTGTCACCTCTGGATCAGTAAATCAACAGAAGCTGATCCTTTCATTATGAGTTTATGCAATGATATGTCCTCTGTGTTTTTAGGAGGTACAGTTTGCAACTAGTTTGAACAAACTTCTGCGGCATGGAACATGTGGCTTGGCACCGAAGAGACACTGAGATTTAAGCTTGACATTATGTTCTTACCAAGCAGGTAAAACCTCATTAACACAAGGAAGAGTCATGTGCTGTCTGAAATTAACTATATATAACACAATATAGCCTGCATAAGGAACATGTAGAAGTGAATGGGTGGTCTTAGTTCTGGAAAAGATTAATGGAGCTGTGGATTGCATGAAAAAAACGTTTTAATTTCACCAACAGAATTGTTGTGGTGCCTAAGCCTCAGTCCCTGTGTGCCTGTCTAAAAATAGCAGCAGACAGCCACAGTCTACATGTCATTGCACATCATCCAGACCGGATGTTACAGTCTGTTGAAGCAATTTTCAACATTTACTGTGAAAACTGCAGGGTCAATTTAAGGAAGTGGTTTTCACTCAGGTACATTAAAAGGCAAAGACTGAAAAAAGTTAGAAGTTAGGCCGCAAAGTCAGCCACAGGTGTCCAAGAAAACGCAACATTCAGAGAGATAGTGTGCAAAGAAATAAACAGGCAAAGTAAATATTGACACTATAAATGCAAAGTGTGGCTTATAAAATGTGTAATGTATAACCAGGACAGAAGAACACCTGTAGGCTCATAAAGGACCTGTAGTGGCTTCCAGGCCCCGAGCTTTAATTTACTACTTAAACTATATAAAACTACTTGTATTGATGTCATATCATTTCTATGAATGACTATAGCCACTTACATGTTGCACTCAGAAGTTGTTACATCAGCCAAAACACAAAGGGAAAGATTAGATGTATATGATGCTCTGTTTTGTCCTGTATTTTACTAGATTTGGATGCATGAAATCATGAGCAATTAATGTGTGAAGTATGATTCATGCATTAAATCCCAACAGGCTGTTTTGTGTGATGTAACCTGTAGGAGATTACACTGTGGAGCCAATTCATTATGTACTTTGTCGTCACAGAAATAGGACATGTTCAATTTGATTAAACTGATAATTCAAATGTCCACATGCCATAAGGAGCACAGAGCAGCTTATTGACTCTTTTCTGTGAAACAAACAGGCTATGGTTTGCATAAGTCAATGCAAATTAAAATATGAAAATTCTATTTGCAGAAAGGCAACATGATTTTCATAAAATAGAATAAGAGCCTCTTTAATTTGGCTCAATAACTCATCCATTACAATTAGAATAATATTTTAATGACTGTGTTACAGTCTCTACAAACTGTTGCTGATACTGTTCTTGAAGGTTCTGTAGATGATCGTCACTGCCACTAGATGTCGCACTACGCCACCAGCATCTCAGACCAAAACAACTGCTTCATTGACCACAACCTCCCGCCTCCATTTGGACTTATTTGCTGGGCCCTAGCTGCAGGATTGACTCTGACGGGTCTGGTCAAAACTAAAACAAAAGCTAACGTGCACACGCTGCCAGATACCAAAACAAAGATCAAGACCATTCATAGTAATACTTTAGTGTTTAGTGGTGCAAGTTTTTAATATTTACTACACATTTGGACAAAAAGCAAATGACAACAAAGCTCTATCTTGGGGTCCCAAGATATGTAACATATATAATGGAATGAACATTTACTTGCTTTCTTTAATATTGTTTTATGTATTTTCATGAGATGAATGATCTGTGATGTAATGATGCTGAGCCCGAGAAAAGTTTCTCCAAGGGGACAATAAAGTACAGTAATGTGCAAAAGTTCTAGGCACTGTTTAGATTAATCATTTATATGATTTTGTTTCATGTGTTATTAAGATTCATTATCATTGCATATGGCAGAAAACTTGCACTGAAACTCCCTAGTGGTCAAACAGGTTTAATATCATTCAAATATCTATCATATTGTATAATAATAAGATAATATACACATCACTCGTACAGTGTATGAACAAATACATTATGAAACCAAAACAAAATAAGTAAAAGCTTAAAAAACTATTATTATTTGCCCTTTTTTAAATGTAATTTTTTTCCTATGCTTTCCACAGCCTTCACCTCTGCATCACCTCTCGCCACGCCCCCCTACGTATAACGTAAACATGACGTTGGGGTTTCCGCAAACGCCATGTTGGTTTCGTTACATCAGATCGAAGTAACCAGCCAGCTAAGCGATTTGTGGAAGAGACACTATTATGATGGAAAGGACTCTGTGATCACGGAGAAACTCACCTCTGGAAGTGCGTGAATGTAATTTTGTGTTTATAGACAGTAACTGAAAAAAGTGTCGTGACGATGGGGGGCGAACTGACCTTGGCGACGGTCTGTCGGTTGGTCCGGGTGTGACGGCTAATGTTGCTAATGCTAACCAACGCTAGCAGTAACTCAGCGTACAGTCAGGAGCTACGAGCCTCGTGTTTACATATAGATATAACTTGTGGCACTTGTCTTTGTCTACGACAAAAGGGAACACCTGAGTCTGTCGGCAAATTGTGAGCCAAAAGTTTATCTTTCGCGGTAGTTAGCCATTAACAAGAAGGTATATTGTGGTGTTAACAGCTGTCCGGTGAACATACAGACTGTGGGTTTGTCATCATCACTCAAAATACAGCAGCCACAGTTTCTGCCAACATCTTCTGTCTCACAGCCTTGCAAATTGCCTGGACTACATGTTGTCTTGTTGGACTGGAAACGATAGGATGATGTTATTTTCCCTCTCTGATACAGGTGAGGCTGTGACCTTAGGCAGCAGGAAGGAATCCTTAGGCCATGTTGGCACGTCTGTTCAGGCTCCACGGCCTGTTGGTGGCCTCCCACCCATGGGAGGTAATAGTGGGCACCCTGGCTCTCACCGTCTGCCTCGTGTCCATGAACAGCCTGGCAGGGAGCAGCCAGATGTGCAGCTGGAATGAGTGCCCCAAAGTCGAGGAGGTGAGTCAGGGTGTGGGTGTGGCAGGTCGTCTCTGCTGCTCAGACTGTGACTACATGCTAACATGAAGATGTTTCTTGTGACTGTTTTCTTGCAGAAAGTCCACAGCAGTGACATAATCATCCTGACAGTCACTCGCTGCATGGCCATCGTTTACATCTATTTCCAGTTCAAGAATCTCCGACAACTGGGCTCCAAATATATACTGGGTCAGTATTATGAGCTGGCACTGCTTCACATCGCCCAGCACTGATTTAAAAATGCCACACTGTGCATATTTAAACTGCCAACTTTCTGTCTTTTCTCTTCTTACAGGTATTGCAGGTTTATTTACAGTGTTTTCCAGCTTTGTGTTCAGCACTGTGGTCATCCACTTCTTCGGGAAAGAGCTGACGGGTCTCAAGTAAGTGTTTCATGTGCACATGTAACATGTTGTTCTGCAGCCAGATCATTGAAGAATTGTAATAATTCAGATCCTAGTTCAGGATTTCTTATGGGCTGTTTATAGCTGAGGTTACAAGTTACAAGTGCCATTATAATGGTTTGCAGTTCTCTGCAGTTGGACTAAGATTTACAGATTCAGGTTGAGACTCAGACTCAGAGCTGTGCAGCCATTTCACTTTCATCATGAGTCATTTGATTCAGTTGTAAAATCAAAGATAACACTGAATTGATCTTTGATTCCTGATTGTTATTGAACTGTTTTCCCTCCAGTGAAGCCCTGCCGTTCTTCCTCCTGCTCATCGACCTCTCCAAAGCTTGTGCATTGGCCAAATTTGCTCTCAGCTCGAACTCTCAGGTAATGTCACACACACTGTATTTGCATGTATATAAGCTGTAGCTGCTGAACTATGTGGTAAAAGTAGCTGAGGTGTCACTGAGTAGTGCTTCGGCCACGTGTCTTGTTCATAGGAGGAGGTGAGAGAGAATATTTCCCAGGGCATGGCCATCCTGGGCCCCACCTTCACCCTGGATGCTCTGGTTGAGTGTCTGGTCATTGGCATTGGCACCATGTCAGGTAAGAAATGATGGTATTTCTTCACCTCCCAAACAGTGACAGCTGTGTTCTGTTTATTTACTGATGATAAACTGAGCAGAAATCATCTCTGTCATTTTCCAGGTGTGCCTCAATTAGAGATCATGTGTTGTTTTGGCTGCATGTCTGTCCTGGCCAATTACTTTGTCTTCATGACCTTCTTCCCTGCATGTGTCTCACTGGTCCTGGAGGTAAGGATGATTTGTTGGCAGTTATAGTTGAGTCTGACAGGAACTCAAAATGAGTTATTGCACCTGACAGTTAATCTGTGTGTATGCTTTACAGCTGTCCAGGGAAAGTCGTGAGGGTCGTCCAATCTGGCAGCTGGGCCACTTCGCCCGCGTGCTGGCCGAAGAAGAGGACAACAAGCCCAACCCTGTGACCCAGAGGGTTAAAATCATCATGGTGAGAAACTGTATCCAGCTTTGTTACCACAGATGTGAACAATATACTTGAAAGCGCGGCGGCGTGTGGTCTAATTGGAATATTTCACGATCTCCTCCTCAGTCTCTGGGTCTAGCCTTGGTTCACGCTCAGACTCGACTAGCAGCTGAGAATCCAGGTCAGAGCCGGGCAGTGGACGGGCCCGTAGCAAAGAGACTGGACTCCGATGGAACCGTGTGGCCTCTGAAGCTCACCAGGTAAAAACATCAGAGAAGGACTATCACTCGTACTGTAACTACGTTTGACCCGATGCATGACTTCCTGTCCTCTGTTCACCCCCTGCCAGTATGGACCTGGAGCAGGTGATAACCCTCGGTCTGGCCCTGCTCCTGGCTGTGAAGTACGTCCTCTTTGAGCAAACGGAGACTGAGTCTTCCCTCTCGCTGAAGACCCCCATTATCAGCTCCTCTCCACCCCAGAAGCCCCGGGTGGCAGACGACTGTTGCAGGAGGGACCTCCCAGCCCAGAAATTCCAGAAGAGCGGGAATTGTGTCTCAACAACCAACCCCACCCCCGCGGCTGTCTCGGACCCCAAACTTTCCGCTGAAGCCGATACAGCGATCAGAGAGAAGGGTGAGACTTACAATGGGCCCTGCTAGCTTTAATAATGTCTGTGTTCACTGATGTCGGTGCTTAACACGACCGTGTGTTTGTCCTGATTCATTTCAATAGAAGTGACTCAGGCTCCAGCAGTCTCATTGGAAAGCAGCGCCTGTGTTTCATGTCCTGAGGAGCCTCCTGCTCTGACACCTCTCCCTTTAAGTAGCTGTGATTCAGAGCCTCGTTCGCTGGAGGAATGTGTGGCCATCCTCTCAGATCCTCAGGTAATAGAAAATCCTCTATGCACACAAACATCACAAGTTCTGTGTGTGTCTCTGAAGGTTTAATAAGTCTACTGGTTTGTCCTTGATGCTTCCCAGAGAGGCGCCCGTTTCCTCAGCGACGCCGAGGTGATAAACCTGGTGACCTCGCGTAACATCCTGAACTATAAGCTGGAAGCGGTCCTTGAGACTCCAGAGAGGGGCGTGGCCGTCCGGAGGGAAATGTTATCACCCAAACTGCCCGTTCCCTCAGCCTTGTCCTGTCTGCCCTACAAGGACTACGACTACTCCAAGGTATCGGGAGCGTATTTGTAAAATGAGAAGTTGGATTTATTCTTTTAGTTTAGTAGTAGTTTTTGATTCAGTCATATAGTCGCACATGATACAGTAAATATAAACAATTTGGACAGAAAAAACTAAAACAAAAAAAGTAATTTACATTTGTAATCCTCAAAAATATCTTTTACAGATCACTCTTCAACCTAAAGTGAATTATACATTTTAAAATTTAAATTAGCGTTGTTCCATAATTTGACCCCAACTATAGAAATACATCTCCTTTCCCTTTGTGCTGTAAACTTACAAACACCTCTGTATTGGAAAATGATTCTCTGCTGCTGGATTCCTTTAGTTTCTGTGTTCATGTTGCTGGAGCGCGACTGATATTCAGCCTGTATTTATGATCCTGTAGGTGATGGGCACTTGCTGTGAGAATGTCATTGGGTACATGCCGGTGCCGGTGGGAGTGGCTGGTCCTCTTCTGTTGGACGAGAAGCAGTTTTACGTTCCCATGGCGACCACAGAGGGCTGCCTGGTCGCCAGCACTAACAGGGGATGCAGGGCGCTTTCTGTAAGTGACTCTAGCTGTGGTCAGTGTGTGTGTGTGTGTGTGCGTGTGCTGACTCTGTCTTCCTTCCTGTCCAGCTGAGCGGGGGTTGCCGCAGCAGGATCCTAGCTGACAGTATGACCAGGGGTCCCGTGGTGAGACTGCCCTCGGCGTGCCGGGCTGCAGAGGTCAAAGTCTGGCTCGAGACCCCGGAGGGTTTCAGTCTGATCAAAGAGGTCTTCGACAAGACCAGCAGGTCAGAGGAAATGCTGTGACTGGCTACAGAATCACATACGTGACGTGTTTTTGAAGGTTCACACAGAACATATAAATATTTGGTCTCACTAGGTTTGCTCGCCTGGAGAAGCTGTTGGTGGGTTTAGCTGGGAGGAACCTTTACATCCGCTTCCAGTCGCAGACAGGAGACGCCATGGGCATGAACATGCTCTCCAAGGTCTGTTGTGAGGAAGTCGGCTGTCAGTGCTCCTGTCGCTTGTATCTCCATGACCAAGAATCCTGATCAGTGTGTGCGCTGTGTTTTCCCCAGGGCACTGAACAGGCTCTGCAGAGACTCCAGCAGCAGTATCCAGATGTTGAGGTGCTGTCGCTCAGCGGCAACTACTGCACCGACAAGAAGTCTGCTGCCATAAACTGGATTCTGGGCCGGGGCAAGTCTGCTGTGTGCGAGGCCACCGTCCCCGCCAAGGTGGTCAGGGAGGTAAACACAGCAGAAATTAAACTTTAGACTAGAAGATGTGACGGTGTAAAATCTGCTCACCAGCCACAATCATCAGTGTGTTTCTAATGTAACGTAACGTCTGTAGGTGCTGAAGAGCAGAACAGCTGCTCTGGTGGAGCTCAACATCAACAAGAACCTGGTGGGCTCGGCCATGGCGGGCAGTATAGGGGGCTTTAATGCTCATGCTGCCAACATCGTAGCAGCCATATACATCGCCTGTGGACAGGTAATCATCACTAGTAATAAATAGTAAATATAAATAGTAATATCAGAACCTTATTTCCTGAATCAAGCTCATGCATGGAAAAAATTAAATCTATGAAACTTTTAGCTCTCACCAGTCAGACTGATTCAGCTCGGAATCAGAGACGTGCTGTGAAAAATGAGACGTGAATCACGTGATCACACTCACTGAGTAATACTGCTGCGTTTCAGGATCCTGCTCAGACAATAGGCAGCTCCAACTGCATCACTCAGATGGAGCCTGCTGGTCCAGATGGAGAAGACCTGTACATCAGCTGCACCATGCCCTCCATAGAGCTGGGGACTGTGGGAGGGGGCACCAACCTGCCGCCACAGCAGGCCTGTCTACAGGTAATGCACTTTTTATTTATTTATTTAAGTCTCTGAACTCCACTTCACTTTATAACTCATCCTTCAGATGAATGCACGAATGAATGATTTATTTCAGTACCAAATAAAACTTAATAAAACATTTCTTGAAAGATATTATAGTAGCAAATCATTAGAGAATTTACTCCCATAAAATATTTGCACATGCATCCTCAATGTAAATTCACCAAAAAATGACATGCAGCAAGGACATGCAGCTTTGCAGCAAGTAAAGAGATAGAGGAGGGGAGAGGGGTGATGACTCTGCAGGGACTGTGATGAATCAGGAGGTTTTTAAGGCAGATACTAAATAATAAACTGAACTAATATAGGATCTGATGAAATGTGCTTTGTAGAGGAACATAACTCATCGTTTCATTGACCTTGCACAGCCAGGATCACACAGGAAACATATCTGCGGTGTCACAGTAAATAGCCGTGTCCGTTTCTGTCTCTCTTCAGATGCTCGGTGTCCAAGGAACCAGTCCCAACCAGCCCGGTGAGAACGCCCGTCAGCTGGCCCGTGTAGTGTGTGCCACCGTCCTGGCTGGAGAGCTCTCCCTGATGGCTGCTCTGGCTGCCGGACACCTCGTCAAGAGCCACATGAGCCTCAACAGGTCAGACGTCTTCACTCAGCTTCTCCCTGGTCTGTGAATGTTGTAGTTTTCCCTGCGAGTGCTGAACGTGTTCTGTTCTTCACCTCTAGATCCAAAACAAATTTGCCAGAAACACCTTCACAGAAGTCAGAGACAGCCGCGTGACGTTGAATGTTTACGGTCCATCCAGCGCTCCGGATACCGGCACAACACGTCACTGTGAGAATGGAGGGGGGGGGGCTCCTGATCACCTGGGCTGTGGAAATCCTTAAAGACTAACAAGCTGATGAACAGACCAACACATGCTGAATCAAACAGCCAACGTGTGCTTGCTTTGTGTGTCGCCCAACCGACTGCGAAAAGAGACTTCCTGGGTTGCGTTGTTATGTTGCCGTTACTTATTTGTGCCATTGGTCTGCATCTTAATGCTGCAGTAAAACCAGAGGAAACCTTCGCTGTTGTCGACAGTGATCCTTCAGACAAATGGGAATCATGACGGGGCCTGGATCGACAAAATCCACCAGTCTTGAACCAGTATCCTGTGCCTCTCAGGAGTCGTGAAGCCAGAAGCCGTCCCTCCGTCACACATGGGAACACTCAGCTTCTACATACAGTAAATCTCTGTGTAGCTCTCCATCTAAAATGCATGAGGTCAGACCTTCAGACAGCTATAACATGTTTTTGTGAAACATTTGCACTCGCCAAAAGCTTTGCTCGAGACAGCTCAGTTACTGCAACAAATAACATTAGATGTTTAAAATGCCAACTCTCTGCCTGAATGTATGTTGTACTATATCCGTGTTGTAGGAAATCACTTGCACAACTTTTCCTGAATGAAGGTGCTACTGTATACTGTGTATACTGTAGAGTGACTATGGAAAAAAAAAAAAAAAGCACCTGCCGTCAGTTTGTCCAGACTCTGATCAACCACCCGGACGAACTGAAGAGGCAGGTTGTTTTTCTTTTCTTTTTTTTTTTTAAGGCTCATAGGAAAACCAAAGCCATATTAATTAATTTAATAAACTTTTATGGTACACTATTATATGTGTGGAATTATGGATTCATCGGCATGGTGGAGGTAAACGGATGGGTTTAAAGCATCACTGACTACAGGTACCGCAGGTTCTTGTATCGTCATTTCCGGGAAGCGGTGATGCTGAAGTGGCCTTACGTAAGAGAGAAGCTGAGCCTTAGCATGTTCTAGTTAGAATATTCAATTGCAAGCTATCAGTGTGAAAAGATTGTCTTGAATGTTTTATTTAATAAATAAATAACATTATGTTACCTCTTAGTGATGTTTCATGTGTCTTTGTGTAACATGAACAAATGGCTCCAAACATGGAAAACTGGAGGATAGACTTATTTATTTCTCTTTTAAAACAGGGCAGAAGTGCCAGTGTCACAGTACATTAGTACGAACCAATTATTTACGAAAATGCATTTCTGATTACATTCAGCTTGAACAACCTGCTAAACTTGCTGTTAGAAACGTCTGCGTTTGGGTGAAAGAGCTTCAGCCGGGCGTCACTTAGCTGAAAGGTCGAGTTTCATCTGGCTTCACTGTCTCTCACCCACATTCCTCAGCTAGAAGCTCTAAAATCAAAAGCCTTAAGAGTGAAGCAGGTGACACAGCTACAAATCTACTGTCATTGATTATAACCCAGGAAACAACATTTTGTGTTTTGACTTTTTTCATCTTATAAAAAGGTCCAGATTTGGGTTTTACTCTTACAGAAAAACATTGAAATTTATTAGGATGAGCACATGAAACTTCCTGTAAGTACATAGTTACTATAAAAATCAACTGCATAGTTGTATAGTTCATTTAAAATGTGAACTATAGAACTATGGATTTTTACTGCAAGAGTTCCTATAAATATCAACTCAAGTACTTACTAAACTCTGGATTTTGCAGCCCTGCATGTGTCAACATGTTAAGACAGAAAATACAAAGACCTGACTGGACTATGTTAACAGAACGGTTTCAGTACTGTCACCGTCACATGTAACAAACAAGAAATACTGACAGGAAGGTTGAGGTGGCAATACTGCAATTAAATTTAAATCAATCTGATGTTTTTGTAGCAGTAGGACTTGTAAAAAATATCCTGCTAGCCCTCAGGAAATGTATTGTAGGACACATTTTAAATTGACTCCAAATGGAGAAAATACAATATTATGGGGAATTCAGCCACGAGGCACTTCACTAGTCATTTTATTGGTGCAGTAACGGCACCTTCTCCCCATCTGAAGCTACATCTTCTTGTTAAACTAAGGCATTTGGGCTCGACTCAGTCACAAAAATGCTTTGCAGACCTTAAGTGAAAATGTTAGCTACACTATTTACAACTTATTTAACATTCAAAATACAGGATGTGCTATGACACGAGAACATATTAACAATGACACAAATATAAAGCCAAGCAAATCATGTACATGAACTCTGTTTTGTACATTATATATACCAAAAACTCTTCGGCTCGTTTCTCCATCAGCGCCGACGAGGCGTTTTCATGAGAGACACGGAGTCAGAGGTCAAGTCTTATTTCATAGGGGTCACGTGTTGATGACAGCCCTCTGGACTTAATACAGACAAGATGAGAATCATCTCAAATCAATCAGTCATGTTGTTTTACTCACAAAAGTTAGCAGCTTCAAAAGAAAGCTGGGAAATAACTAATTAGGAAAAATATGAAAAATCAACACAAAATAGAAACTAAACATTTCAATCTATTAGCGAAGATCTTTTTGTTTATCTTTACAAACCTCTTATAGAACATACGTACATTTAAATATTAATATATATTTGTCAGAAAATAGACACAACCTGACATGACGGCTACTCTGACAAGTCACTCGTCTACATGAGCATGAAAGATGGAATAAACTGCTGCAGGAACGTCTGGGGAGGGAAGGTGACCGGCCCACTGCTGGGTGCATTCATTCTGGAGACAAACAATATCCTTTTGAATAACAGCAATTTAGTATTTGATCAACTGAACCACAATGAGGGGAAGAAAACAAGCAGTAACTGCTCTTGACATGATTACGATAAATCATGATGTCACTGTCTGGGTTCAATTAAATCAAGAATTTTTTTTTCATGACTGTCTCTCAGGGGTTTAGGGTTGTCTCGCAGGTGTTTGATTGCAGCCACCAGAGGGCGCCGTTATTACCCTTCCTCCCCTACTGGAACTAACTTGTAGCCGAGAGCTGGGAAAGAAAACAGTCCCTGTGAGGTGCTTGTCTCGTCATGGCGGCAGAGCAGGCGTCAGTCTGAAGATAATGGGTCCTCAGAGCTTCATGGGGAGTTCTGTCCTTGTGTGTGTCGACACTGGAAACATGGAAGATGTACTGAGTATACATTCAGAGACGACACATGAAAATATAAACTCACATGAGTAAACTCCTGACACCAACCTGTGAGCTTTAGAATAAGATGGGTTTGTCTTCAGTTTTTTCCTGGACGTAGGAGGTGAAGCGCTTCAGGAACTTGGGGTACTCTCTCTTGGCAACGGCCCTGAGCACGGAGGCGGGAGCCCAGCCTCCTGGATTTACTGTACGCACACACACACACAGGATACCAACGTCACTGAGCATGAAGGTTTGAGCTAATCAGCAATTGCACTTTATAGTTTGTCAGAGCAGGTTTCCATTAGTTTGTTCTTTCAAGATGAACATCACATAATATCAGTTTACAGAGGGAAAAATATTCCCCCAGCCACCGGCAGGGTGTTGGCATGAAACAGCCAATGACGCTTAAGTGGATGGTTGATAATAAAAAGCCTTTTCCCTGTTTGAGTGTTTCTCTCCTGCAAGAGACAGTGGAAGAGCTCCAGAGTTTAGAACAAACGTTTCAGAGCTTTTTAATACCACATAGAAACAATTTAATAAAAAGTATAACAGCATGACTGAAAACCAAGTTAAAATGTTTTTTTCCCAAAACTGACACTTATGACGCTCATTACGAGAGTCTGAGCTTCCTGGTTGCTATAGCTAGTAGTCGTGACAATATTTGCTACAGGTTTGATCACCGTGGCAACAATCCCAGTGTAGTTTCTAGGGGTGTAACGTCTCCTGACAGCCTGCAGTCGGAAACACAAATTCTTCCTGACTAACATTACGACCTATAACAGGAAAGTCTTTTGTAAATGACATCTAAGACTTTTAATACCTCCTAAGATCTGCACACACACTGATCATATGTCAGCTAAAGCCAGCAGCACAGACGCACTCTCACCATTTGCCACATAGGTGATTTTACACAGGATGTTGTCTCTGCTGATTTCTTTATCTCCCTCCGGTGGACTGACCAGGGTCTGACAGATCATGGCGATGTTGATTTTGGCTCGGACACACTTGTTGGTCGGCTGTGGAAAGTGACAGGACGTAGAATTAAGAAAAGCTGCGGTATCAGAAATAAACACTGTAAAGTGGACCTGACTGGATCTGATGGCTCACCTGAGCGTCGTCATGATCCACAGAGAAATTGCAGACCAGCCAGGTGTCGGGGTCATTCTCGTTGTTGGCTAAGATCTTTCTCATGGCAGACAGGTACAGGACGTCCCGCTGAGACGCAGGCCACACCCGCTGTCGTGCACAAGAGGTGATTATGACAAACGGATCCATCTCACTGCTGATCAAACGTGGTGATTTTTATCTATGATCTTGCTGCTCTTACCTTGTGGGCTTGATAGACAATTGCTGCGTTTTCCGACAATGTCTCCACAACATTGAAGTTTTCAATGGTGGCTAAAGGAAGCAGAGAACATGGAGGGTTACGAGGTTTTCACGGTATTTTAACAGTGAATTGTCTCTAAACTCTGAGTTAGAGTTAAAAGACTTACTCTCCCAGTCGTTGCGATAGGCGGTGTCCCAAAAGTAGTGGCAGACCTCGTGACCAGTCACCCCCTTTACTGAATGGGTGGCCTTCAGCGGGTCCAAAACAATCCCATTTTCCTCCACCTCTCTCCTGTACACCTGCCCACACACAAGCAAAACAATACATAACCACATTTCCTAATGGAGTACTTGTATAAATCTAGTAGGCTCTGGTCCAATCATACATTCCAGATTAATGTATTTTAAGAACTAATTCAATGTACTTCAGACTTTTTAAAATAACTTCATAATTTCCTGTGCCAGTCAGAGAAGATGTACTTCCATATCTAATCATACCTTCATTTCTCCCTCTTCTACAACCAGCTGCCAGTTGGCATCTCCACCAACATCCTGCAGGGAGTAGGTCATGTGACTCTGCACCATCTCCTCCACCTGTAACACAGGGCCAGGGACAGAACAAGGCGGTTATATCGATTATGTAACGACAACTTGAAAAGGTCCTCAGATATGACCAGGGCATAAAGGAGTCAATGTGCAGAGAAAACCAGACAAAGACATCAAATCAAACACGTATCTCATGTCTTATATCTCTTCTTCAGAAGCTGCTTGACTTGTAATGCTAATGTCACTAGTTCTCGGAAGGAATAAAGTAACAGGACACATCCAACAATCCCCCGAAGACTTAGAGCGACAACAAAACAGCCGGGACAAACCACACACCCATGCAGGCAAGCTAACGTTAACATGACATTATCAAGGGCTGTGGATGGAACATTGTACTGTTACTTCCAGTGACTTATTTCCAGTCTTTACCAACTATGAGACAGACATCAAAGACAGTGACAATCCTCAGAAAAACTGAAAATGAATCAACAAAATGAGACTAAAGTTTCCCTGATGAACACTAGACTAAAACTTTTTTGTCTGGACCTGGTAGCACATCGTCTATAAACAAGAACAATTTATTATTTCACACCACACACTCATGCTTCATGCTGCCACAGTGAGTTAGAGGCTCCTGCAGCATTTTCTTCAAGGAGCTTATGCAGTTACTGGAGATTCATGCAGACGTGGTGTTTAGTCTTTACAGGTGAAACACAGGGGTGGGGTGACTGGCTGAGGCTTGGCAGTGAGTTACCTCTGCGCTGAATCTGTGGACATCATGAGGAGCACTGACTATCAGAGCTGGGGAGGGCTGACTATGAGGCTACAGGTGATGATACGATGATGGACAAACAAAATGAAGGGACGAAGAGTCAAAGTTACGCAAAACTGATGTGAGATGTAAAAATGAAACGTGTGAAATGAGAAAAATAAAGAACAGGCAGAACTGTAGGTGGAGCAGGTGGAATGATGAGAGTAGCTGGTGTAGTTTCAGGGAGTGAAGGATTTAACAACCTTGTCAGAGAATCTGTGTGAGCCGGGGCTGGAGTAGACGTCTCCAAGGGGAACAGGGCTGGACCTCTGTATCCTTGTCTTCTCAGTTTGAGACTACAAACAATCAAACACAGGCAGTTTGATCATACTCGACACCAAAAATCATTTCATTTCACAATGTGTTTCACTATTTAACATCACCTTAGCAGTTCTCATTCTGTAACTTAACACTAATCGAGTTTATGTTCACCTGTTCCTCAATTTTGTCTTGTCTGTCGAGAGCAGCTTCAACTGCATCAAAAAACTCATCCTCATTAATGAGGCTGTTTGGACCCTCCTGCAAATAAAGACGAGAGGGAATGTTACTCTAAAGGATCTTACACAACCCAAAGTTCATGTTGTTTAATGGAAGAATTTTATGATTACTTCACCTCATAGTCTGGACCTCCAAAGTGAGACTTTTTCTTCAACTCGTTGAGGGCAGATTTGTAGCTTTCCTCTATTCTTCGCCTCTTCTCCATCTCCTACACACACAAACATCCAAAATCAAGTCACGACCACAACAGCGGAGCAGAAGTTGGAAGGAGACAGTATGGACAGTCTGCTGACCAAGTACCAAATAACACACTAACTTCTCACACTTCTCTCCTGCATTCTCAATTTTACACCATCAATTGATCTTTTTCAAGCAAGAAAAACAATCACAATTGTCTGACAAATAATGCATGTCATATGGGCTTTCTAAGAAGAAGTCCCTGTTTAAATAATGGATGAAACATGTCCATCTGGACACTGCAGTGATCCAAATGTTACACACCTTGTCCAGTCTCTTTTGCCAGCTGTCCTCTCTCTTCACCATGAGGTCGATACAGTGGGACAGAGTGGCTAGGATCCCAGCTGTGGTGGCCTTGAATGTGATGGCTTCACCCTTAAAGTCTATGCCATTGATTCCCTTGGGAGTCAATGACTGGAACACTGCACAAAAGAGGAGCACAGGGACTACAGTAAATGCTACTTGTTTTAACAAGCATCACAGCTTTGATCGCACAGCTTTGATTGTTGCTTGTTTAGTCATGAATATTTAATGTTACAGAGAAATACTCAAGATTGGAAACCAGGTTTTCAGGAAGAATTCTGCACCACTCACATTTTTCTTTGCTGCCATTGTTGTTGTGCAGAAAGTCTCCATCAGGCCGGGTGTTGGGGAAGTCATCTTCATCGTCCTCCACAACTAAAACAAAAAAGGAACAAGTAGAGTAGACTCAGAGAGGGAAGGTAAACACAAAAACAACAAAACAGGTAGTTGCTGCACACAAGCCTTTTCTTGTAGCACCCTACTGAGAATCAACCAGGGTTCCAGGACAGGGTAGCGCCTTGTGGCCCACTCACAACTCAAACTACACCACACACACAGCACACCATCAGACTGACAGAACTCTGCTGTGCTGGACAGCATGACAATAGTCCGGTTTCATCTTCAGAATAGAGAGAGGGTGAGAGAGGAAGGGAGAGAGAGCGAGGGGCAGATAGAGGGAGGTGAGGAGAACAAAAGCAGGGCTTCATTCACTGTAGTCATCCACAGACGCTCAGCGCAGGCTGCCATGAACAAATGTTCAGCCAGCCAAGACAGGGTGAGGGTGAGGGGGCTTATAGAATAACTGCTTTCTGAGTCACAACAGATGCACAGGAACATTCCTCACGACACTCACTACATGTTTCTTTAAACCACAAATATTTTCATAATCTGTGGATGGAATATTCAAACTAAAGATTCCCTTAGCCGTACACACACACTGTATCATTCAATTCTGTCCATATAGTGCTTCAACTAACAATTAGCTTAAGTATAGACTAATCTATTGGTATTTTCTTAATTTCTTGATTAATCTTTTTGTCTATAAGATTCCAGAGAATAGTGAAAATGCTCTGTACAATTCCTCAAATTATCTATTAAGTATTAACAAAACAAAAAGATATTCAGTTTACTATTATCAATCCTTAACTTTTAGAAGCTGGGACCAGTGAATGAAAAATAACTAAAAATGGAATCAACTAATGGATTCATTGACTAATAATTTCAGCTATATAATAAAATGGTATTTTCACAATTAAATAATCTTCAGTTCTTGTCAGAACCCCCCCCCCCCCCAAAAAAAAAAAAAAAAAAAAAAAACACAGACAACTGAGAAACAAAAGAACTGGTCAACAGGAGTGTAGGTGTGTGTGATTCTTACTTTTATCTCTCTGCAGCTCATCCTTGGACACGGCATCTGAGCAGCTATCAAAGTATTTCTGAAGTGTGTCCACCTGCCTGCACAAAATATCTCTGAAGGTCTCCATCTCTGCCAGCTTCTCCCTCAGGCTGTGACCCTTCTGAAGAAACAATAAAGCGTCAGAGTGGTTCGGCTTATGTTTATATTTCCATTGGACCACTATGCAATCATTCCAGTGTGTGTCTGCTGACAAAATTCACCGCTTGTGTGTGTGTGCTTCTACAAATATCCAAACACCCCTCATGTGTGCAGTTACAAAACTGAAACCAGTGACTTCTTCAGCAAGAGTAAACATGAACCAGAAAGCTCACCTTAAAGGAGGATGTGGAGGTGGCAGAGTAGCCACTGGTGGCTGATGTGAGAGACAGCATGGAGCCATGTCTCCGCAGACTGGACTCTGAGCCATATCCAGAATCAGACTGTAGAAAAAGAAGGAAAAACAGACATGACAAAGGGAAACAAGTAAGCCAAAGCAGCTTCACTTAAAAAAATACATTATCATTATTCATTTAAGCCAAAAATTTAATCAAAATAAAAGACAGAGTGGGAGAAAAGGAGACCATGATTCAAAAAACAGCCACAATTCATTAGCGACGTATTAAACAAACACAGTGACACAAAACAAAAAAGCAGTAATGACTAATTATTCACTTTAACTGATCTGAGAACTGTCCATCTGACCTGAAGTGCTCCAACTACTTTCATTAATGTTTTTATTTAGCAGGGATTCCATTAGAAACTACAAAAACAGCCCAAGAAAACCCTCATAATAATACTCTTAGTGTTGTAATGAATCATTTTTGACACAACATAGTGACATCAACATCAGCACATGATACAGATTCAGTAACCATGACAAAACCACCGAAATGATCAAGTGACTTCCTGTAAACCTAACTGGTTCCCCTTTCGTGTTACGCAACAGCCTGTCGATAGATGGTGGGTGACGGTGGAGAGGGACGGTTGACAGATACTGGTAGAGGTGCATGTCCCTTTAAGAGACACTTCCAGTTTCAACCACAGGAGGGCAGGACATGTAAACACACGTGACTGGCATTTGTAAGAGCTTAGGGTTACTGTCGGTCAACGACCAAAAGTAACTCCGCCTGAGTTCACATGGATTTCAGTCACTGCTGTTCACCCTTTAGCCAACATACTGCTACCCCACTGACTTCATCAGCACAGATAGTGCTATCTAACTGTGCCGCTTAATCTGTTTGTTGACAGAAAAGAAAAACAAATGCATCTAAGCAAGCAGAGGCTTTGTTGTGGCTAAAGTATTAGATAAAAATCAGAAAATACAACATAAAAGAGCAGTAAAAGTAAAATTTATCAGCTGTTGGGTCTCCTGTCAACAATCCCAACTGTTAACTATAATACCTACGTACCTGGACATGCTTTTAAGCTGCATGCAGCAGAGCAATACTGTGTAACTGTTGTGTAAGTGTGTCTGGTGATTAAAGCCTCAATGCACACACTTACAACAGAGGACATAAAGCAATAAAAGATGACCTTACATTAACAGAATATGTGTCATATGACTGTCACCACACGTGCAAAATATTCAACAACAATCACAGCTCACTGTAATAGAGACAGTATCCTAGAAACAAGTGTTGTTTTCATATTTAGATGTTTCACTTTCCCAAACTATAGGAGGACTGATGTGTTAGTTGTGGTGTGTTGTGTCTCCTTGGAGACGCTAGGCTGTGAGTGTTGTGAGTAATGTGGGTTAGACCGGGAAGCAGGACCTTCTAGGAAGAAGAGTTTTCAGTGGTGACTCATTGTGGGTGGGATGATGGCTGGGTGTGCATGTTATGTGTGCAAGGCCGACTCCCCTCCTGCTTTGTCTGAGTCATGGTGGCTCCCTGGTGCTGGAATGAGTGGGGAGGGAAGCCAGAGGGAGGAGGGAGGGGGGTTTCCCAAACTGAGGTCCACAAGTGAGCAGCATGTGTTTTTGCAAATAGACTGAAGGTGTGGAGGCTGCTTTCTTCTCCACTATATCAGACAAACTCACAACTGTGGCTCCACTCTGGAGATTATGGCTTACAAACATACAAATCAGTATGTAAAAAAATTTTCTTGAAATTATGCACTTGGAAATCCTTCTAATCTTCCCTCTGGCTGGAATGACTAATACACACAGGGTTACACAGGTCACATGGGATTCTTTTCACACACACACTGAATGTGCACAATGGGTGCTACTTACGCTCACCCTGCATTACACAGCTTTTCACACAGCACTTAAAAGTTCAATTTGTATTTCAGCCCTGTGTAAATTCACATTGTACTGGTGTTTTAGGCAAACAACAAAGCACGTCTAAAGTCCAGGACTAGCTGACTCTTATCTGGGACAGGTTAACCTCAACTTTTCAGGTCTGTTCCTAGAAAATTCATTCAAACAGGGTTATCTTTTGGCTGTGTTTTCCAAACAGCATTGTCAGTAAGTCTTGTAACCCTTCTCAGGGTTAGCAAAGCAAAGCTAGCCCTTCCACAAATCATGCACCAGCAGTGAACCAATTACGATTAAAGTTTTTCTCCAGACACTCTTTGAACAGTGTAAAAATACTCTGCTATGATTACTATTTTGCTAATTGACAAATTCTGGATCGGGCCTTGTGCTTCACCCACCACTGCTGCTTACACTAGGTTGACTGGTATAAGAGCAGTGTGTAACAATATGGTTAGTGGAGGAAACATCGCAGAGACTAAATCAGACCCAGACTCAGATGCTGAAATCGACTAGCAGACATTTCGAACAGTAAGCGTAGTTAGCATCTTTTATTTGCTTATGTTGTTTGTTAGCTTGTAACTGGCATTTGCTGACAGTGTTAGTTGTTGTGCTAATGCAAACGCTTGCTCTGACAAGGTTTCAGGTTTATTTTGCCATTACAGTTTACTGTGCTTTGAGGCAAGTAAGTCCTTAAGTCTTATAGACTTGCCAACACAAACAGCAGTTGTTGAAAGAGCATTATTGTTCCCTGGACTCCTCCCGTCTGCCACCACCTCTCACTGACTTTCTAACAGAAACGTACACACATGCATACAAAGATGATAGTTATTTGTTGCAAAAGTGACAATGATTTGGTTTCTTTTGATTCCAGCAGTTCATAACACAGCAGGTGTTAGAGTGTGCATGACTTACCATGTGCAGCTCAATGGAGTCAATCCACTGGTGTCTGTGCTCTGGGTCTTGTGCTCTTAGGTACCACACACTGTCGTTTACGCTTATGTCCAGCCGGCATTCATCAAACGCATGAAGCTAAAAAATACACACAGGAAGAGGATATAAAACAAACTGTTAGATTAATCAGTGTACACTGAAAATGTACTGCATCAATGATTATATTAAAATGCTCTCGACTTCTGACAGAAGCTGAGACAGGATTAGATATTGGAGGGTTCTGTGAAATGATCCCTGTTTTTCGAAGCCAGCTGGCTTCACAAATATGATAACACTGTCGTAAAAGAGGAAAAGCCAATCTCTTTCTTGCCCAGGACGTGCAGAGAGGGACATATGTGAGAGTCTTTGATTCATGCAAATAACTATTAAAATGACTCAGAAAAAGCAAACTGCTAATCTCTCTCCTGTGCCTTATATGGTGGGAGACAATCTGCTCTTGATGGCAATCCACCACAGTTACAGTGATGTGAGTCAAATGTTTCAGTGTAGGCCTATCTCAAAGGGATAGAAGACTAAGATGAGTACCAGAGGCACAGCAGTCTCCACTTTCAGACACTGTCCCATAGGAGGAGAAGTGGCAGATAACTGGCCTTTTAAGGCAACTTGCAGCACGGAGCATATTCCTAATAGCCCTCCAGTGTACTGTCAGCGTTGTAAAAGTGCTGCGCTGGCATGGCTAGCAACCAAAGACTGTGTGTGTGTGTGTGTGTGTGCTGGGAGAGGGCGGAGGTAGAGGGAGCAGTGGTGACAGCAATGGTATTTACCTGTGCAGTCTTCTCCAGGATTCTACAATGAGTCCTAGTGCTAAATCATTCTAAAGGTCTGATGGCAGTGAGAGAACAGAACGGTCTATGAGAGAGGGCCTAGCCTGATCAAGCATAGTCGAGGACACAGAGAGAGGGACAGAGAAGAGACCTTTGCATTCCAATGTTGGCCACAATAAGTGCAATCATTTACTATGGAGGGCCAAGAATCTGCAATTTTGCAAGAACCAATACAGCCACTCATTTCACTGAGGAGGAATTTGTGATTGCAGTAAACAACTGTTTGTTTAATTAAGCCATTTATCGATTATTTGGCTTAGTTAATCAATATGGTATTGTGAGTTTAAGTATTATAATTATACCATATTGATTATTCATTTCTAACAATTCTATTAATCGATACAAGATTAACACTGCTTCAAAATCTTATATTCACTGTGACAAGCTATAATAAAGCAGGCACATATGATCATTAACAATTGCAAGCTTGCAATCTAATATGAATGTATAGAGATAGTCTGAGCCCAAACCATTACTGAAGATTCTATTACTTTAGTTAGTTGGCAGAATAATAAATGGCCCACTACGGTGCCTTTAAAGAGGTTTCATTGCAGGAGTGTGACTTGGCCATGTTGCCTGACACCTGGACGCCGCTGAGGCCAAGACCAGATGCTCAGCGTCAGTAATGCACAACATGAGGATGAATGCTGAAAGCTTTCCAAATAAGATGCCCATTTAAAAGTTACCAGCAGCATTTGCATGAAATCAGCATCAGCAGCAGAGATGGACAAAAAGAGGAAGAGCAAGCAAGGAAGGAAACCAGCGGTAGCATCTGCCATCAGTCATAAGAAAGACAAAAGAGCAGCAAGCAACAACTTCAGCAGCCTCCTTCTCTCTTAAACCCAGGATCACACTAACTCGTTTCAAAAAACAGCCTCAACAACCCACCAACTGGATTAATAACTACCAGATCAAACCTGCAAAAACCATGTGAAATAAAATAAACATAAAACATTAACAAAGACAACTGATTTTTTTCTTCTGAATATTTTAACACACTTGTTAAGGTCGGTAAGAATATAAATCTACTGCACTAAAACCATACGATATTATAGAGATAATGGAATTTTAATGCCAGTTGGTTGCTAGGAAAGTGAGAAAATGAGTTCCTCTCAACAACCCCTGGACTATGGGGTCATGGTTATACTGAGGTTGAGGAATGAAAGCCTGCACCAGGTTTCAGAAGTTTATAGGGATCCAAGGCTACAGTAAACAGTGATCCATCACGGGAAGGTCATCTCAGCAGCCTTGCACTTCACTAGATGGCATGACGTGCTGAAAAAGATCTCAGCCTGGCTCCAATGTGAAAGTCAAGCAGACATAAAAAGCAGTAAAAGATGTATGGAGTGTTTAGTTTGTGTGCCTGTCTACTTGTGCAAAGTCAACGTGTAGAATTTCTGCAGCTCAGTGCATGGTGAAATACCTTTCGGCCTCCTGTGACCACGCTCAGGACAAGCAGGTACAAAGAAATAGATAGATGGATGGCTATTTTACATCTAATTGGAGAAAAGCACTTTACATACCATTACAAATGAAGATTTAGATCTGTATGACAATAAATCAAATAGGTAGTAAGTTGTTATCATACCCAGAATGTTGCTTCACAATAAATTCTTAAAAATATCCATGACAAAATGTACACTGTGACCATAAGGACATGCACTGCCTTAGCAGTAATGTTTATGTGTATGTAACAAAATAAACACTACAGATGATCTTTCCCTCCAAGATACCAGAGCAGACACAGAGCTTTTTGTCCGTCTTTAATTCAGCCGACTGTATTGTCATCTTTGCCTATTTTTGCCAGTGAGGAGTCTCTGCCAGCAACTATTTCTGATGTCTGTCAAATGGCCTCCCTTTTTGTGGGGCCCAGCAGTAGCTCAACCACAATTATATCTGACACTTGTGTTATCAGTGTCAGCCTTGTTGGGCTTGTATTTGTGTGTCTTGTTTGTTTTTAGACAGTTTTCAACTGTATGGTCTTGTAAGGGAGCATGTTAGGGAGGAGAGAAACATTTCATGATGTTTTGTCTATCAAACAATATGAATGCCAAAATCTAAAATGATGAGACAAAGCAGTTTCACTCTGTCTCTGTTCTCTTCAAACATAAACTTCCTACTCAGCTTCAAAAAGACTCCCAATCTGTCCTCTCCCCTCCAACCCCTTTTGAGCTGGTGTACGTGTCTGCAGTCACAGTCTCCAGACGTGAAGGGATGGGAGCTCCCTTTAAAACAGCTTGTGATTTTCAGTGCCTAAAAAAAAATACAGGGACTGAAACCAATGCAAACACTGAGAAAGCCTACAAAGCTGCCCCAAACCTAACTGAATTTCATTACTCATTTGTGCAAATTTAAACATCATAATTATCCTCTCTGGGCATTCAGACATACAGCGTCTTCTGTATTCTTGCAACATTACTACTATGGTCTGATGCCAGGAACATCTTTCTGCAGACTGGACACTAAAACGGGATCCCCATTGCCCTAGTGGAGGAAACACTGACTCACCAAGTGGTCAGAGTGAAAGGCAGGGAAAAGGAAAGCTAAATCAACACGGGGACAGTAAGAACAACATTCTGTCCTGTCCTTGAAACACACACGTGCACACGCACACACACACACACACAGAATGGGGAAGGTGTTTCTTGACCCTCCTCATGACCCCCAATGTGTAGAGAATGTCACATCCTATGAGGAAGAGTCTCATTTCCTAGCAGAAGAAACTTTGTAATTTCCACAAAGCCTTACGTCAACCCCCCCCAAACAGCATGTTTGACGTCTACTTGACCCTTGCTCTCTCTTTCACCACCTCAAGAGTCTCACTTTGATGTAATGATGAAAAATCCAAATCGTCACATCCAGTTCCACTGCCTTGCAGAACTCAAAACAATCCAGCCCATAAACTACTACAGATCCAGTCTGCACTACTCACCAATTCCAGTGAGAGAAGGACTTACAAGTAGGCCAGTGTGCTCTTATTAACTGACCACAGATCTAAAAATGGTGTTGGTGGTTAGCAGCTTTTGTAGGGTACAGATGCAAACCTGCAACAAGGACATTGCACCATTTTGACTTTGTCATACATGAAACAGGAACAAGAGGGGTATTACCACCCTTATATGGTCAGTTAGCAGGCCGCCTCTAATACATGCTGTAGTACTGAGTATTCAATAATGCTAAAAGTCTGAGTAATTCACAAAATATTAAAGAGGTATATGCATGAGCCTCTACCTCACGGTGAGCCACTGAATGTACAGAACAAAGGGAGATAAATGGTTAACATTAGAAAATGGTACAAATGTATTTCAAACTAAACTGGTTATAGTTTCTATTTAATCCAGTCAATGATAATGTTGATTTGCTGTCAACCTGTGTTTACTAATCTACTGTAATCTACAAGCGCGTCTATTACTAATGCTAATGTTGTTTATCTTTAACATGAATACACTCACAGTTACTGTATGTTGGCTGATACGCCGAATGTTATCAAATTCAATAAGTGTCATCAAGTTCCCTTGTAATGAAGGTGGCTGTGAACACGTGAGGAGGGTGCGTATGACCTACCTACACTATTGTATAAAGACAGCTGGTGGACACAATTAAATGAACAGTGTATAATCACTAATGTAATCCAAGCTACTCTGCATGAATACTGCCGTCTTCAAAGTTTACATTGTCCAATTTTAGTTGAGACTGTGTCAAACAGATGCTGTTTCCAATCTGTTGAAATTTCATTGCACCAGACCAAACATAAGAAACATAACAAAGCAGAGAGGAGTGGGCCACCAGCAATGAGCTTCAGGAGTCCTCCTCAGTCTGTTATTGTATTGTGTTGAGCTCTGAGAAATGATTCTGAAAACTTGCTCTTCTACAATGAAGAAATCAAGTGTTATCTTACAGTTTCTCAACTAGTGCAGTGCAGTTTCTGAATGACTCATATTGCAGTTTAGACAATTGACTTCCCTCTGAGCTAAATATATACTATATTTGCCCAAGTGTATTCACATGGTGTGACAAGGTCTTATATGGACACTCTTTTACCCGATCCAGAATTCTAATCTTACAGCCATATTTAAATGGTGTCACAATGCATGTGAAAGTAGCTATTCCTAGTTTCTTTTCTTTACATTTATCTGAAGAAATACATCTGGACACATCACTGGTCCTGTGTCTGAGAACACTGCATTTTGGTGCATGTGTGTCTGATAGTTATTATCAGAGCTATGAGGAAAAATAACAAGATGGAGAAATCAAAGAAAGAAATACTGATGAAAAAGAGAGAATATTTTAGTTCAAAAAAGGCAATAACTGTCTGTTGATGACCATCACCAGCTGTAACTCTTCATTATTTACCCTATAAACTTCTGAGGCGTATTTCCATTGGAATGAGAAATGACTACACTAGAGCACCACATGGAGGTTAATATTTACATAGGCTGGGAATGGATAAAGCTGAGCAAATACAGCTAATAGCCAAGCCTGTTTCATGCCGACTGGGAACAGTAACTTATTCATTTCCCTTGTTACTGTTTGGAGAGAGACACAGACTGAGCCTCAGTCAATGACTGACCTGGGCTCCCACTGAAACATGATGAAAGGTGAAACAGTGTGAACATCCGTCATTAAACACTGTTGACACATTTGGATTTATTTTATCTGTGCTTAGCAAAGTGTGAGTTCTTTTAAATCCTTGAGACGGGATATTATTAAAAGTCTGATAAGTATGAAGTGTCTGCTTTGATATAATTTGCTACCTCTATCTCAGCTGCATTTCACGGTCTATCCTATACAGTGGCACAGCATTACTAGTCTCATGATGAAGTGTTACCACATAGCATGCTGTTTTGGGACTAGAACAGTCACCTGACAAGCCAGTTACCCTCAAGCGGGCTTGGGACATAATCAGGAGTTCTTTGAAAAAACAAAATAGGGTAACACCTGCAGGTGAAGATCAGGTTTGAGAAACTCCAGGGTAAAGTTTCTCATTAGAGTTGCCAACAGAGAGTCGAGCCTTAGGCCTACATATGGATCCAGGAAAGAGCAGAGGCTTTCCTTCATGAATTTAAGAGAAACATATGGTGGATGCAAAACAACTGAATCATATCTTATACATCACGTGACAAAATGCTCAAAACCATGTGAGAGGCTAATGCAGAAAGACTGGGGGTGGACAAAAGGCCTCTGGAAGCAGAAACAGAAATATCTGACTTTGCTCTTCAGATTTCACCACATGAGCTCCTCAGGTGATCAACTTGTTCCATTCATGTTGAATTTCACAGTATATTACAGTGTGGCTTTGAGTAAATGTAAAACAACTTTTTATACTTTTGTAGGTAAAGTCAAAGCACCATTTTATATTGAAAGGTTAAGACAGCAACAACTGCAGAAACAATGACACAGCATTTTCATCCCTGCTGAAAAAGTTCTTCTGAGCTCCTTAATCACACAAGTGGAGCTGTTCCCACAGGCAAGCCAAACCAAATGCAATGTGCAACACACAACGAAAATTGATTTTCTATAAAGAAGCAAATTCCTTTTTCTCCAGCACATTTTGTCATCACTTGTGACAAGAACAAAGCACACAGTGTGGGAGAAGAAAGTGTGGCCAAAGCTGAAATCCAGTGAATATTACACAGATTTCTGGCCAAAACACACATAGATGATTGTACAATTATCCTATCAGCTTTCTCCTACTTTCTGATCACCACTACTACAATAACTGCCTAAGCATCATAGGCACCATTTAGTCAATGGCTACACAGACTATCAAGACAAATTTACCAGCCAGTTCACCTGATGGCAACTGTTATTCCTGATGATTTAATCTTGTTTTCACAAATTTCTGACCTGATTATCAAAATGTTTACACAGCAATGTTAACCCTAAATATCAAAATAATTGGGTCAGACCCTACTTATTACAGCTATTCAACCAATATAAAGAAAAGGTCAAGATTGACATAAAATCCTTTCTTTTAGTATGGCTCCTCTGTCAGACACCTCTACTCCATTCATGAACAACACTGTACACCATTTATTGTGGAGGGAATATACCCACTGTGCTTATCATGGACATGCAACCAAAATGCCTGAACACCACACCGCCTGGCTGTCTGGCTTTTATAGGTGGAAGGTCAAACTAGAGCGAAACATAGCCAACAGGGTATCAGCTGAAGCTGCAGGTGAAGTGACACACAAAAGTAGTTTGTGTCTCTACTTTGCAATTTAAATATACACACAAAGTATGTCCTCTTGAGTCTTGAAAAGCAGCCACAGTAAGTTGTGCGGTTTTGGTGGCTTAAACAGCAAGAACGTTGTTTCCTCCCTCTTAGAAAATATACAGAAGAATTCTTACACAAACAGTGATGTTCACTCTTGTTAAGACATTTTGAAAAACACAAACAACAAAAGAGTGACACTTCTAGGAAAGAGTCTCAGTGCTACTTACAGTAATAACAGCTTTACTGAGGCAGAGGGACCCTCGACAGCCATACTCGGTCTCGTCCTGAGACTTGTAGTAGCTCAGAGTGTTGTTTTTCAGCACCACCCAACGGTCCTGCCAGCCGTGGATATAGTTTGTCCACTGAAAAAAAAAAAGTATTTTTATTAATATCTTTGTAAACTGGGGGACAAGTAAAATAGAAAAACCTCCACAATGCAATGGAGGCTTTGCATAAACACCACCTTACTTAAAATGTTCAGTCGTCACTGAGACCTTCTACTTTAGTTCTTGGTATGTTGGTTCAAATTGCATGTTTAGAGGTTGTACTTTGTGGTGGTGTTGTGTTGAAAGGTGTCCACCTCATGTTCTCAACTTTGAAAACATCTTACAATATAATTTAGTCTACTAAAACAAAACCACAAACTACAGCCTCAACAATCACCACAGAGCTGAATCAACACAAAAGTAACACAAAGCTAGTCTTTATTAGATTGTTAAATTAGAGAGTCATTTCCACTTTTCTGGTAACTCAGAAATTACAAACAAAAAATGTATATCCCTAATCTGAGATGCTTACACTGCTGGGAAAACCTGAGTTAGGACACGTGAGATTTTATGTAAGGTGTAGACTCATTAATCCTCACAAGACTTATGACGTGTAAAGGGTTTAGTATGATTGAACAGGTGAGCTTTTCTGGATGCCAATCTGCTTAATCTCACAATATGCTTGGTTAGCAGGTCAGCATGCAATCTGTTTAGAAACAACCAGTCTACAGTAGGATTAATACCACATTATCTTGCCAAGGGCTTAACAAATTAAAACGGCGGTCAGTTTGCCCAAAACAAAGTCTTGCCCAAGTGAGCAGAAGCAGATGGCAAAATAGGTTACCAAGGCTTTGTCTAGCAGTAGACTTAACTGTCTGTTTACCAAAGAAAAACAAAACAGGTCACCAATAGCCTGGAGAGTTGTTATTTACACAGTGCACTCAATTAAGCACAGTTTACTCATACTAGTACCCCAACGAATGTTTTCCTACACCTTGCATGTTGTTGTCAAAGCAGTTTTTACAGTATCACTGGACATTTGCTCATAACACTAACACAGTAACATTTGCTGTATCCACATTGTTGTCATAGAAATGTGTAAAAATGCTTCAACCTCTGAAATGAACTCGTCTGTATTCAAACACAATATCTGCACAATGTACCCCAGGCAAAAATAACACCTGCCCCAATTATCTACATTGGTAACAGCTTTGTGGAACCAACTGTGATCACCACATGCTTACACAGTAAACCTAGTATCAACTATCAACGTCACCCACTCCCGCAGTAAATGAATGAGAAACTATTTTTGATGGATTTATGAGCTAATGTAGCTAGCTGTGCATTACATACCCCACTATTCAATTTCACTAGGGGCTTTCCTTTTGCTTCAGTGGGGATTACTGATGTAATATTACTGGGCGCCAATGTGGAAGCGTTGACGGACGGTTGCAGGATGCCGGATAACCCTTCCCTCAAACATACATGCCATGATTTGTCATAACATTGGCCGAGTGCCTCATTTCGCCCTGATATGAACACAGGCGCCTCCTTGACAGTTGTGCCCTTAGCACTTGGCAGTGACATTGACCGGTGCATTTAGAGGATATTCGGTTTGGTCAAAACATGACTTACCTTGCTGAGGACTCCACTGAACTGGCCGGTACTGACAGGATGTCCAGACTCCTCTCTTGGCTCTAAATCTTCCTCGGAACCGGAGGAGTTCCAGCTCTGATTATCTGACATTTCCTTAACGTTTTGTGGCTAACGCTTCACAAACCGAGAGTGAAAACAATATGGACTTGGCATATGACGCCAAGGTAGTTACGTTTAAACTGACAGTATTAACTGAGATGCGTGTGAAGAAAAATAAAGAGCAGCGGTTCACGGAATCATGTTGTATTGTTATCGACTGGCTAATAGCTCTCAGTGCAAGAGGGGTTAACCCAAATAGCTGAGGCTAGCAAGCTCCAACCGCGTAGGTAGACGTTAGATAGACGTTAGGTAGACGATAGTTAGCTAAAACGATCGGCAAACATTCTGTGGTCGAATAATCCAGGTAAACGTTAGCTGTCAACTCTGCGCTACCGCCCCTTTTCGACGGCGTACGTTGAGTCCCAAAAGTGGCAGAAAAGGGTAGAAACACGGTTAATGTGGTCAGGCTGGCTTCAGCAGTCACAGGTAATCCGGCGCTGACTGTCGGAGAAATGCTGCAGCTGTGGCAACAGTTGTTTACCTCTGTAGACTGGTGACAGCTCTCCAGCTCAACGCCATGTTCAACTGACGTCTGCTGCTTCTTCTTGCTGGGTGAGCGCGTGTTTCAACTTGTGTGGTGCGCAGGGGCGCTGGCTCGTGTGACGTCACCTAATCCACTCCTAATTTGGACCAAGGCTCCGCCTCCTGTTTATGCCACTGAAAATAGACCGAGTAGTACAGAGCAGGCAGAGGAGTAGGCTACTACAGAACAGGCTGAGGAGTAAAGGAGCATAGACTGAGGAGTATTAGAACATAGACTGGGGAATACTACAGAAAAGAGTGACGAATACTAGAGCATAGACTGAGGAGTATTTGAAACTAGGCCAAGGAGTATTTGAAAATACACTGAGGAGTACAGAGGTGTAACAAGTGTGATGCTCCAGATTACTGAAAGTGCAACTATTAGTCTATTACACTGAAAGACAGGACTTTAATTAATTATCATTACAATGGCTTTCTTAATAAAACAAACAATCATTTATACTTTCAGATAAGTGCTGTTTTTCAGCAGGTCCAGGGACTAAAATTCTCTGTGGGCCTCCACTGACCCCCTTTTTCTTGGTGTGTATTCCAGAATCCAGAATAAATTTAGACATAATTTTGGCACCATGTCAAAGATGGGTTATAATGCACAACTGTTTTGTATCATTTGTGTTGTAGGTACAACTTTGTAATCAATCAAATTATCATAAATAACTCACACACAGTGAATATGGAGCATTCATGGCCTCTGAAGGACTGAGGTTCCTCTTGCCCACTTTGCCCAGTTTTGTATTTGTAAATTACACGCAATTATGATAAGCAATTCACAATAACATAGTGACCTACTGTATGAGGGCACTCAGAGATGTCAACCAACATACACAAGACTTAAGAGGAAAAAAAATCAAATTCATAATAAATTATCCAGATCTGCCCCGAAATTTAATTGGTTCCTCCCAAGTCCAGGTCCCATCCCTCCACCAGGTTCTGTGGAAATTGTTTCTTGTACTTGATCCTGCTGAGAATTAAACAGACACAGGTGAAAACATATCCTCCACGGAGGATGTTAGTTAATTTTATATATTTCTCTACAACACTGCATATTCATCAAAACTGTGAGCTTGTTGTTTAACTGTCATCACATTTTGATTAAACTGATGCTAAACTCTTATAACAGATGTTAGTCTACACTACGGTTAAGTTTTAATCCCAAAAAACAGTTTTGTAAATGACTATTAACTCTTAGAGATCATCTGTTTCCTTTACACCTGGGTTAATATTTTTAGTGAATTAAATCGTGGTGAAAGAACACATCTTCTTTATAACACACTTCTTTATAATGAGGGCCTCTGGAGCTCCACCAGCACCCCTGGGATTGTGCCTTTAACAACCAGCAAAGACTGCAGTCAGGATCAGCACTTAGTGTCGACATTAGTGCCTGTCCAGTAAAACATTAGCATATATAAATATATATGACGTCAAATTATTAGAAGGGTTCATTTGCAAGGAAATGAAAAATCTATTCATACATCCATATACACGTGTGTATTTAATGGCTATACAATCTGCCGGCACGCATGTCCATTATTTCTGATGGGATAGAAAATGATAGTGGAAATAATAACCAAAGATATTTGAGCTCCCATTATAATTCAGAATAAACAACCACTTTACTTTACCACTTGTTTTTAGGTTGTTTATGAGGTCAATGGAGCTACAGTACCTGGGTAGTAAAAAGTATTAAATTAACTGTAGCATAAATCCTTTTATCATGGGGTCAGGGTTTAAAATAATGATGTTTCTCTGATTTGATGAAATAAACAGCCCAATAAAGAAAAATGATAAAACACATAAAGTCACTTAAGGATAGGGGGAAAAAGCACATAAGGCATAATTCCAGGTTAACAGTAAAATATTTAACCTCATGATGCTAAATGACATAATACAGTCATTCATGAAGAATGTTCCCTTTCTCTGTCTCCTTCCTTCACATAAGCCTGTACCAGGCCTGTGCTTATGTTCACCATGAGTCATGTGATAATCTTTATGCGATTTGCGACACACACACACACACACACACACACACACACACACACACACACACACACACACACACACAGTACAGTAACAGGAGAGGAGAGGAGCGGAGAGGAGAGCCTTTAGCCATGTCATGGGTTTTGTGAGTCTGATTCAGTTCCATGAAATCATGAGACCTGGAAAGGAAGAAACCACAAGACTTCCATTAGCTGCAAAATCCAACTCTTCTCTTCCATTAAAGGGAAAAGTCTGAGTGGCAGGATGCTGAGACTTCAGACAGTTGACAGGTTTTTGAAAGCTGTATCCACCACAAAAGTCAACTCACTAATCCAAATTATATTTGGTAGAATAGCTTTATCAGTGGTTTCTGGAGTTATTGTCTGTTTGACAGATTATTCGCTCTTCAAATCTTTTATTTTCAGGCTTTCGGGTGTGACAGTTTAATCTGCACACTACATGTGATAACCACACTGCACAGGAGAAGAAAGTACAGTACAGTAAAAGAGGGTGAGACGAGACATGGGTCTTATCTCTCAGCCTTTTCCAGTGAAATCAGCTCTGATTCAGCCTCACAGCCAATCCCCTCATTTCAGATTGAGTCCCAGAAAACACTAACAGTCACTTGGCAACGTGGTGGTATAATGCCACGGGGAAGGGCTCGTAGATAACCTGTTGTTTGGATGGATAAGCTTTCAGCAGTTGATTCAATCACAGTGACATACAAATCGCTCCTGACTTAGTGGCTCTGTGATTCATTTAGAGGCCAGGAGTCAAGGACCATGACTCAGGCAGGGCTGATCAAGCAGTAATGTGATTAAATCACATCCTCTTCTGAGCTGCAGATTCCTCATGGGTCAGCAGCTCCAAGTGGGCGAAAAGGAAAGGAAGCAGCTGGTTCACCAGGATGGATTGTTATTTTTATTTTTCCTCTGTGTCAAGCACTTCCTTGTGGACAGGAATATAACTATTCAGTTCAGAGGAAATATCATTCTTTTAAATTCACATCCCGGCAGCCACTCCTTCAAATGGGTTGCACTCATTGTAGTTTTCTCTGATTACAGCAGTTAAGCCTCAGAGTACTTTTTTCTAAAGATATTTATTAGCAACAGGCTGTTTTACACCAGCTGCTTGTGGACGTGACTCATGGAGCACAGCCACTGGAGGAGCTTTACATAAGAAACCTCAGTAAAGGTTGGAGGAGCAGAGTGTGACCTGCCTCACGAGCTCACTCTGCCCTCTGCTGGTGGCCGCTGCTATTAGACACACACTGTAGACAATTATAAAGGTGTTTGTGTGGTTTTATCTCATTAAGGTGCAACAGCTGTGACACCGATCCTGACATCATGACGTGCCTTATTTGCCGACTTGGAACGAGTTGCCAGGAAACCAGGAGGAAGTGTTAAAATGTTTACTGGCTGCGTATGACCTGGTACATACTGTACGTGAGGCTTGATTTGATTTGAGGACACAGAGTGGGACAGAAAAACATTATATACATTATATACATTATATGTAAATTATAGCAGTTAGTGTAATGATAACCAATAAGATTTTATTTTGTAAAATATTTCATTCTGTGAATGTTGTTTTGAATTTCACCCAAAAAAATAAAAATAAACTAAAAATAAAAGTAAAACAAGTTTTGTACTTTTTCACTGTGACAGTCTGATTACAATGTAATTTATTTCATTTTGTTTTAGTATTTAGTTCAGCAATTTGTTACAGTGAATATACAGTGGCAAATAAATAAGTCCCTCTGTATTTCCTTATGATAATAATAACATATTTCACAAAGTTACAAAAAACAAAGAGCAGAGTGAGGAAATGCCTCTCTCTGTGGGCTGATGTCAGTAGATAAAGTCTAAACCTTTTTCCTATGGAAATAAAAAAATAAATTGCCTGCTTTACATTTAGATACTTTATACATCGCCTGAGGTTTGTTATTCCTACACAGTCTGTCTTTGATGTCTGTGGAGCACAGACAGGTGAGAAAGGAGAAAATAAACTGTTTCAAGGAACTGGGGAGTTTCAGTGGCAGAGAAGCAAAAGGAACACTAAAAAATATGGTTCCCGTCACATAGATCAGTGTGGACTCATGCATTATGGATACTAGTTGTATTTCTGTCCTTGCTGCTGGACAGATGAGAAATATTTACCCAGAGTGGCTCCAGTTTCCTCCTCAGCAACAGGAGCTCTCACTTAACACACCCTCTTAATACAGACTTAGTCTTTGTTTGAGTAGGTAACTTTATAATATCATAAATGAATTAATCATCTTTTTATAGGAGCTCTGCTGTTCACATGACCTGAATACACAGTCCCATCTGTGTGATGCTTTGGCCTTGGTAGAACGTGTTTTGTTTTGTTCTGTACTGAACTCAGTCTTCATAAAACCATGACAAATAATACATTGTTTGAAAGCTCTAAGTCTCTTGATTCTTATCACTATATCATATCAGTGCAACAGCTGTTGACACAGAGGTGGTTCAGACTTGTAGCTGTGGCTCCACAGCGTTTACTACAGGCCTTTTATTCCCTTTGTTATGCCACTGAAACAAGCGAGGCAAACTAACTTACATTTCTATCATGTTTGTGCCTCTTTAACTTTGATTCAGTATCACTTTTTACTCATTCTGACTTTCTAGCTATAAAGTTTAAAGAGTTATCTTTCAAAGGAGACCAGGATTATGACTGTAATCAAAAGGGTTGCAGAACAGTAACGTTTTTAATTTCTTTTGGGCTTTGCAGGTTAAACCTCTCAATGCCCAAATTCTGCACAGTTGTTTTTTATTTGATTAATAAAAGAGCCTCCAATTTTGAGATTTCTATGAATTGATACATATTTTTTATTATATATTTATGATTAGTAGTCAGTCTGCATATACAAAACAGAGAAATAGGAATAAAGGAACAGATTCCTAAAGTGTTTTTATTGCTACTAAAGGTGAGTTATGGAACTATTCCATGTTCTCACATAATCAATGTTCCTCTCAACACCATTTCACATGCATAATTCAAAG